TGGGAAATTGACTCCTTTTTTCCATCCCAAACAAAATATTATTAATAAGTCAACATGGTCCATCTCAGTCATCATAGCCAGTCACAAAATTAGGAAGGTTGTTTTCAACAGCAGACACACACACAACATAACGGAGTGAATCAAAACGAGTGTTAATTTTTAGTGATAAAGAATTACGATACGTCGTAGAATAACTGACTTTTTTCGTCCACTGTGGCAAAGAAAACGACAGATAGTCCTTTAAGATGGGTTATTTTCACAAAAACGTATGCAATGACGAAAAAATGATGATTATTATTGTTCATTTTCAATTTTTTCCTATTCTTCTTTCTTCCTCTGCTTCTTCCATATTTTCGTTTAAATTTAATTTGTTATACTAAATACATATTTACTCATAATATTTTTATGTATATTTATATATATATATATATAAATTTAAATCATTTCAATACAGATTTACATATTTTTTGTAATCTAGAAATAGGTTTATGTATACTTTGTGTCTGTATTTAACATGTTTCAATCTTTTGCTTTATTTAAATATCAATTATTATCATAAATTTAATGATTACATTATTTCATATAGTATCTTAAATAAATTTATAAACAATTTTAAATATTTAAATATAAACTATGAAAGTAAATACACGTAGATTAGATCAATAAAAATGGACATATTAGGCCTAGTAATCTTTATCTATTCATTAACACGAATAACATGTTCAATATTCTAATCAATTTTTATATAGCCGGAGTTAGTTTCGACCTAGACAAACCTTTCCTAAAAAGGTACACTTTCTCCATGAAAAGGCTTCTTCTATGAATGGAATGACCTGTTCGAAGCACGAACTCCTCTCAGTGGAAGTTTTTCCAACTGTTGGCGAGAATTCAGTGTATATATGTATTCAGTTTTGTCGTCGTTCAATTTTAGAAAACGTTGCTTGAAAATTATTTTCATTGATATTATAATTATTATTGATTTTTATTAATTTAATTGTAGCTACTGTGGTACTAGCCTAGAGGGAATCACAATAACCTCATCTGGCAATGTAATTTTGTTGGATTTCAACTCCGACGATTGGTGGACAGAACCAGGTTTTAGAGCGGAGTACTACTTTGTCGGTAAGACCAACGAACTGGCTTAAACAAGGACTCTTTCCTCACATAAATGTGATATCATGAATATATACGAAAATCAGATGCATGCTGACATAATTATACACTGTCTTTGTTACAGTAAATTTGTATACTAGTAGTTCCGTAGGCCAGTGGTTTCTCTAATGTTATCTTATTGCACAAGTGACAGTCAAGCCGGTTAAACACTATGTCAGCCGACAAATCCATCCCTGCTCGCTCTGAATGAGCGCTGACAACACGACGCCGCCGTCTGCTGATAGACCTTTCCGGAGTGTCAATCAAACTTAACTGACCAATCAGAACAGTGCCAGGAATACCCGCGCGTTTAACAAGCACACGTGGTGTCCCACAAACGCACGTGTTTGCCTATGTTTTTTTCACTGTCCTTTTATGGACCTTAGCAACAATATCTAAGGGGTGGGGCTTTGCGGAAAGGTCTATTGCAGGTGGCAGTCTGAGTGAAAATTAAACGATCCTCATCGCGCACGCCTCGTTGCGTTTTGTGCCTCCTTGGACTGGCGTCGGCGGATTACGTAGTGTTCGCCCGGCTTTACTTAATGACGTGAGCTCACAAAAATTCAAAAAACGTTCTTGGACTATCAATGTGCAGGACTGACAGGCACCACTGAAATGATGATGACCTGAATATTTATTTCAATGAAGACATAGTTTTTCTGAAAGTTTTGTCCGATAATACCTTAGTACCACCATTTTGTCTCTAAGTTCGGACTAAAAATACGGCTACCACACTATTTCATTGTCATAAGTGAGCAATATGTTATTTCAAATTTGTATTGTTTGATTTATACCCGCAGTTTATCATTAATCATTTGTTAATTGACCAACTGACGTACTAATTTGTCGTTTTCATGATAAGTCATTAGATGTTGTGGTGTTGTTTTGTGTCTACCTTCTTGTAATAAAATGTCTTTATTGTGGCATTGTAGTTTTTGTGTTTGTGATGTGTATATTGTGAGCACTTGCAATTGTTAATGCTCCACTTACGGCGAAGAGATTTTCAATTTCATAAATACTGTATTCATGGAAATAAATTCCCCTGGGCGTTTATTGTTGAGGGGGTATTTAAGGGGCTATTGTTGAGAAGGGGTTTAAGGGGCGTTTATTCAACTGAGGCATTTATTTAATGGAGGCTTTCTTTTGTGTTAAATTGGATACATATACTCAAATAAACGTCACTGTAAAACTGCAACACATAATTACCGTAAAAATGTGTTATTGCATGATTATAAAGACTTATTGATCCCAACCAGATTGGAAAATGTGATTCTACTGAGTAGAACAGTAATAGAATGCGTTTTAATTAGAATAAATTTTCTTCCATTAAATTTGTTTACAGACATTTAGGGAGGCGTTTATTCGAGGAAAAATAAACTCTTCGAGGCACTAATTCGAGGGGTTTATTCAAGGAAGGGCGTTAATACGAATAAATATTATAACTTGATTCAGTCCATATTGGTAATTACCAAAATGCATAAAATGCATATATGCATATAGGCCTAATACATTACCCAGTAATAATAAAAACATTTTGATGATGGATAATGCGCAGTATATATAACCTTTAACAATTAGACTACTCTAAATTATTCATAATTTATTAACTATTAAGCCCCAACTGTAATTACGGTTGCATAGCAGCGGTAGGCGTACTGATTTATAAGAAACTTGTACTTGAAGTAATTTAATAGGAATTTAAAGCGATTTTGAAAGAAGTTGTGTATCATCCACGTTTGTAAATACTGTAGGCCTACACTAATCTTGGTTCTTGAGGAGATCCATAAATTTAAAAATAAATTATACAGAAACATGGCTGCAGTTAAGTATTTAAAATTAAGATTTAAAGTGGCTGTGAAGCAGTCAAAATGAGCAGGAAAATGTGAATAATGAATAAGCTATGTTGGTCCGCTACTGACCATTATTACTTAGCGCAGCTTATGATACAGCCGGGTGGGAGTGGCATGCGACGAGCGAAGCACCGAGCGGGGGAGAGGGGCGGTGCTTGAGACTTTAGTTTTGTTTTGTTTTGCTTAACCATATTCACTGGTACATAGAATTTAAACAGAAAATTAAACTAGTACCGTGCTCAGCTCATTCTCTTTTCATCTTACCTCTCTTATGTGGGGGCGGGGTGCTTTCCCCCGTCGCACCCCTGGATCCGCCCCTGACAAGTATGATCACAGGTTATGTTCAGACTTGAGAGATACGCCAGGCGTGATGTGCCCACGTCAAATGCCACACAGATGGCATTTGGCGTAAGCACATAACTTACGTGTGCGGGCTAAATACGTGGGGTCCAGCCTGGGGTGGTCGCTTGGTGGATTATCGTACGCCAGAGACCGCCAGTTGATATTAAATTTCGCTAACGTTACGCTGTCTTAACGCGTGTGTCTGCGTATAGCTCAAGTTCACCCGATTAGAGCAGTGCTAGAGTGGATAACAGTGTTGTTTTTATTGTGCTGTTCCCTGGCATTGTCCTAAATGTTTATGTTATGTTTATTTTTTAACTTGTCTGTTTGTGTGTGTGTGTGTGTTTTTAATGTATTGCTAAAATAAATAAAATATAAAATTATAAAAAATATAAATTACGGTACTTACATTATCAACCACAATCAAGACCTCAACATTAAATTTCAAGTTCTAATTTAAGTGAAATACATTTTTAAATAAATAATAGCAATAACAATAAGCTAATTTGTAGTTCGAACTGCGTGTGCACATTTTAAGGTCAGTCGACACTATACCACCATGTTTGAGATAAACACACATACATACAAAAAGGTTTATATCAATTGACCTTGAATATGGGCATGCGCATTTCAAACTACGTATTGCCTTGTAACAATAGCAAGGGAATAACAATAACAGTATAACATTAACGATACAAATTAGAGCATTTCGCCCTGCCTGTCACTGAACAGGCCTGTACGCTGGACTGGGGAGTGCGGACGAATCCCTCCCCCATCCCCACTTTCTCCCATCCAGTGCTGGAGGTCTACCAGATTGGGAATATTTAATTTCAATCATATCACCGGCGGCGAAACTTTTTTGAAAGTGGGGGTGGGGGCTATTTCATAAGGCTCAGTATGCGAGCGACGCGAGCATCTAGGCTGGGGGCCAGAGATATTTGACGAAGTTTGGTGATACCACCTCAGCCCCACCATGGTCGGAGTTGAGGTAAGAAAATGTGTGACTATGGCACCTCTAGATGGCCGGAAATTGCACTTCTATACATAAAATTTGAATGTAATTTTCTTTACCTGCATAAAAAAGAGCTATTTAGGGAGGCCCGGGTCACCCTTGAATACGCCACTGGGCACTTTCGCAGATTGAGGATCTATACCACCTCAGCCCCACGATGGTTAGGGCTGAGGTTTTAAAATTTGAGATTATGGCACCTCTAAATGGCCGGAAATTGCACTCTCAGGCTTAAAATTTGAATAGGCATATAATTTTCTTTATATATCTCCATTGAAAGAAAAACGAACAATTTAGGCCCCACCCTTGAATCGGCCACTGATTTCCGAACAAAGCCGAAGTCAGATTGCTTTCACATTCTCAATTATTGATCATGAAGGGGTATCCTTGATATGTGCATTCCCCGACGAAATCTCCACTTTTCCCCCGATGGATAAAAATTATCCTTATAAAGGTAGGTAAAGGTAGGAGAATAACCCACAACTTGCAGCGTCATTGTGCTGAATTGTGTATGGTCGTGGTCCGTGACTACCTAGCAGCCGTAAAGAGGCGCTTCTTGGTATACATGTTCACCTCATTCCACAACGACAGGGGCTGAAATGAACCATAACATCGGGGTAAACCCCCACTCTTCCGAAATATGCAATGGGTTCTTTAAAGTGCACACGAGCCAGATGTATACACTGGACCTCCATTTTAAGTCCTTATCCGAGAAGTTCTACCAACCGAACCATGGGCGAGGAGCGGCTGGAACCAGCGCCGACGTTAAGGCTGTAGCTGACGGCGCCCCTGCCTTACCGCTCGGCCACTCGACTCGCCTTATAGTAGCCAGGGAATGATACTCCAACTGCGGCGGGTCCAGGAAGTCGAAATAAAGGTGACCCATATAGGGTCTTGCGCAAATGGAGTGTCCATCCGCCTCAGCCCCACAACGGTAGTTGCTGCGGTAAGAAAAAAAAATATGATTATGGCACCTTTAGATGGCCGGAAATGGCACGTTCAGATTAATAGTTAAATACAATTTTGTCTGTTTTCTTTTTCTTTTCTTTTCTTTTTTAAATAAGAGGTTGGGGTCTGTGCTGATAGGACTCCCCTGAATCCGCCGTTGTTCAATATAACACTTGACATAGACTACTAATTCCTAATGTTAAGCGAAAGATTTTTTTATTCGAAAGATTTTTTTTATATTTTATATATTTTTTTACAACCTATAACACATTAACTACCGTACAGTGTACTAAAAAATCTGTAGTTAACCTTTAGAGAACTTTTAATAAATGGCCTAATTAAGTATCTTATTGTTTCGTTAAATTAGATGGATTTTAAATGTGGTTCTATTACGCTAATTTGAAGGTTTACTGTAAGCCAATCAGTTACACTTACATCTTCATGGTTAACATAAAGAGAACTAGAGCGTGCCTACCTCATGCCAAAATACAGAATTCGCGCAAGGCGGGCGATTCCATTTTTTTTTTACTTCATGCCTCAGGGTGAGTTTTAAATAAACAATTTACAGACGCACGTATATACAGACGTCAATGAACACCTGGTTGCTCAACTCAAAAAGAGAACTTGTAATGTACGTTAGAAAATGAAAAAAAAAATTCTAAACGCAATTCATTTTCTTGCACTCCTCCATACTCTCTACTTCAGGGAAGGGGACCTTGATAATGTGGTTGTCTATTATGCACCCGTTCCCCCCCCCCCGAATTTCCATGACATTGACCTTTGACCTTTTCTCCCCAAAATTTAATCACCTCTTTCTTAGACCACATACTACTCTCTTTAGGTTGATTTCAATGTGAAATATTCTTGACCACATTCCTCTTTTAACCCTTAAATGTAATCATCTCTTTCTTAGACCAAAATGCCCCACTCCACTAAATCGAATGATTACCCATTCATTAGTTTTTGAATAATCATGCTAACCAACAGAACGGTGAAAGCATAACCCCTTGGCGGATGTAAATAATGCACTCGATAGAATGCATACCGGTACGTCACCAGTTAATGTGAAACGTCAACACTTATATGTGAATCTTTGGTTTTGTGTTATCCTTTAATTTTATAACCTAAAATCAATGTTTATGTCTTTGCCAATTTCTATCGTTCCACAAGTTTATGATAATCTATTATATTTGGCATGATCTGGCTACCACAAGGCCTACCACCAACCATAAAATCGTTTTGTCAATATAAAACACATGGGGAAAAACCGATTATTGAACCAAAAAACAAAAACTAGGCCTATATGAAACTAAAAATTACTTAAAAATATAATTATTGCAGGTTGTTTCGAAAAATGTGAAAAAGATTTTACTTTTTAAAATCCGACAATTCTTATGGGTTAATTTTACTTTATTTTAATTAAGTATAAAAAAACATGCACAATCAGTCAGCAACTAGCACAAGACTGAAACGAATTTACAATGAACAATAAATTAAAACAAAATTGACACACATAAATCTAAAGCATTACAATATATTTGTGAATTATGCTTAAGAAAAACTATTTTGAAAATACCAGACAAAATATTTCACCACTAAACAACACTATGAAGTATTCAATATCACTTCAGACATATATATATATATATGAAAGCAGTTTCTAAGTGGATATGTGCGCAATATAAATCGTATTTATTATTATTAATAATGTTGTTTTTCGTTAAATTTTCATTTTCCCTTCTAAAATTACAATTACCGTCAAAATGTGTTATTGCGTAAAGATTTATTGATCCCAAGCAGCTTAGAAAAAGTAACCTTCTAGAATAGAACGTTAACAGAATATGCTGAGAATGATGTTGCTTCCATTTGATTTGGCAAGACTTGGTTACAGTCATATAGGAGGCGTTTATTTAACGAAAACTTCGAGGGAGGAACACCAAATGAGGCTCAGAGGGAGCGGCGTTTATTCAAGGGAAGGGGAGTTCTATCTTTATAGTCTATTTATTTATTTATTTATTTAAAAAAATTGTCACGAAAAAGATATCAACATATTACCAAGGGGCGTGGCAAGAGATGATATGGGCTAAAGGCCAACACAACAAGTGGTCATCTCTAAACCCCTGGCCAACAACAATAAAATATGATATAAAAACTTAATATATACAAAACGGTAAAAAATTTAAACATTCAAAGAATCAATAAAATAATTAAAAAGCAAAGTTTTGAAAGAAATACAGTCAACTTGGACTAGACTAGACGATAAGTTAATTATTTAATAATAATTAATTTAACTAAATGTTGTGAGGGTGGTCCATCCAGCATGATCTGATGGACCCTAAATATCAATATACCTTTCCGGAGTGTCAATCAAACTTAACAACTGACTAATCAGAACAGCGCTAGGAATACGCGCGCGTCTTACAAATACACGTGTTGTCCCACAAACGCACGTGTTCGCGTATGTTTTAACACTGCTGACTTGTGGGACCTTAGCAACAATATCCAAGGGGCGGAGCTTAGCGGAAAGGTCCATTATAAGGTCGGATCAATATGAGGGGGTTGCAAGTAATATCTAAAGTATTAAAGTATTAACAATGTTACGTTATAATAAAGTTTAGCGTTCAAAACGTTTTGTGTAGCCCCAAAGAGTATAAATAGCCCTACATACATAAATACGTTTTTATAACGTAATTTCGTTGTGCTAACGTTACTTTCTGACATAATCTAATCACAAAGTTCACAACGTTTATGTATGTTATGATAACGTTTGTATCTGTCAATAATGTTAATGTTGATTCTTTTTCTATTATTTATTAAGATTATTCGTTGTGTAGTATATTTTTCTGAATAATCTTGAACTGATGATTAAAATAAAATGAATATAGACCTAAATAATATATTTACATATTATCCACAAACAATATTGTAACATTCTAACAATACAAATGTATTATAATGTTTCTAAAGGTGATATGCAAAATAGAAGACAATAAGAATATGTATTAATTTTCTAGATGATGATGAATGTGACCTTCAGACACATGAATGTGACGCCAACGCTCAATGTGAAAATACCATAGGGTCCTATGATTGTACATGCAATGAGGGATACAGCGGTGATGGCTTTGAGTGTACTGGTAAGCCTAATGTTTAGGAAGATTTACTCTGTTTAGAAACATGCTAAGAGTTATATTGTATCAGGGAACAGCGAAATTTCACTGTTCCCTGATTATATAGTTAGCAATTAGAAGATAAAAACCAATGAACTGGCAATAATGATAAAAATAAAACGAAAAAAAAACATGTGAACTTAAAATTATATAAAAATTTAACTTTTAGGTGATTGACGAACATGAGCTTCAGTCTTAGGGAATCAATGCTCTTTGCACGAATAGTGATGGGCCTTGAATGATTGACTATTTTTATGTTTAATATGATTGACTACCGTATATTAGAAGGGAACCACAAGGCTTACTGTTAGCATAGAAACATAAGAGCCAAAAATGTTAAATTCAAATTTTATTAAGTATTAATAGGCCTATATGTAATTAACTGTGAATTTATCGTTGACAAATATCAAGCCCTAATGAATGTCATACTTCCAAACCATTCATTCATTCATTCAATTCATTTAAAATGATTGTAAGAATACTGATGGACCCTAAACTTGTATTTTTTAGATATTAACGAATGTGATCAAACAAACCAATGTGATACCAACGCTGAATGTGCAAATACCGCCGGATCCTACGATTGTACATGCAATGATGGATACGAAGGAGATGGTTCACAGTGCACAGGTAGGCTTATAGTGTTTAAATTGATTGACTATGAAAAGGCAACCACAAGGCTTACTGTTAGCATAGAAACATAAGAGCCAATAATGTTGAATTCAAATTTTATAAAGTATTAATATATGTAATTAGCTATGAATTTATCGTTGACAAATATTAAGCCCTAATGAATGTCATACTTCCGAACCATGTAGTATTAATGCAGATTGTAAGAATACTGATGGACCCTGAACTTGTATTTTTAGATATTAACGAATGTGATCAAACAAACCAATGTGATACCAACGCTGAATGTGCAAATACCGCCGGATCCTACGATTGTACATGCAATGATGGATACGAAGGAGATGGTTCACAGTGCACAGGTAGGCT